GCTGTTTCCAAGAGCAGGTTGCTCTTGGGCTCATCCTTTGCATGGGAAGGTGCTCGTTACTTTTCTGTTGCTGCGACAAAATGCCTGACAAGAAGCAGTTTAAAGAAGGAAGAGTTTACTCTTCAGAAAGCTCCTGAGGCAGCTTGACTGACATCTTCCAGAAAGAGATGACAAGGCAGCTTTTTGTGTGAGACCACAGCAGGGTAGCAGGACCCCAGGGTATGCTAGAGCCTGGTGCTGGGCAGACCTGATTGGGGCCTGCCCACCTTTCCACTGCCTCTCTGAGGGCAGAGGCTGTTGGCCATGAGGGTGTGAGGGTGACATGGGCCAGGCTTTCCTGCACTCAGCAATTACTGGTACCATCTGGTACCTTCACTGTGAACTTAAAACACTGATGACACTCTGTCCTCACGTCCAGATCATTTGGAGAACTGGTCTTCACAGTGTTCTCGTGTTTCCTGAGTGTTTTCAGTGTTCTCTTTGCAGAGCCTTCTGTTCTGCCGTAACCCAGAAATCCGGAGTGCGTTTCCATCACTTCTGTGGGTCTGCACGTTTCGGTGGGATATGGTTCCTAGGAGTCTGTTCTGGCGTAGGGATTGGTGGGTTACCACATGGTTTCCTAAGAGTCCCACTTTCCTGGGGTGTCTCTTGATCTTCCACCAGCTTGGAAGACTCTTAGGACTTACGGACCCAAGAAAACAGCGGCTAATCAGGCCTGGAGTGGATGCTCTTGTGTGAGTGCTTGTTTTGTGTGTCCCTCTGTCGTGTACTCTGTCTTGGTGTTTTTTGTTAGTTGTAACTTTTTTAGATGTCACAAATCTCAATAATTCTAAAGTTTAAAAACATTTTTTATAGTCAGCAAGCTCAGGGGACATACCTAAAAAAATGTCAAATGGATCCAAAGACGCCAAAGCAGAAACAGAGGTAACATTTAAAGACCATTTTTTTCTGCCCCTTTCCTTCCTTTTCCTGTGTGCGTGCGTGCGTGCGTGCGTGCGTAGATATTGGCGTCGCGTAGAGGTAACATTTAAAGAACATTTTTTTCTGCCCCTCTCCTTTTCCTGTGTGCGTGCGTGCGTGCGTGCGTGCGTAGATATTGACCCTCTCTCCCATCTCCCTGTAGGATCTGGAGTGATGGACACTTAGGCTTTTATGTGAGTCTGAGCTCAGGTCCGCACACTCGTGTGGTGTCTCAGTTACTTCTGTTGTTGCTGTGGTAAATCCCCTGACGAAGCAGCTTAAAGGAGAAGGGCTTGTTCTGGCTCCCAGTTCAGGGTCCATCATGGCAGGGAGGGGCGCACAGCCAGGAGCTTGAGGTCGTAGTTTGGGAGTGCTGCCACCCACAGTGGGCAGGTCTTCATCTCATTTGACTTAACCAAGATAATCCCCCACAGGATGTCAGGGACCTTCCCAGGGATTCTAGACCTCATCAAATTGGCAAATGGAGATGAAGGACTTCTATCCACTGATTCATCTCCCCAGGCCCTAAAGGACAGTTTTGAGAGATGTCAGTTTGAAGTTGACTTGTAGTCATGAGCGCTCTGTCCTCTCTTGTCTGCTGGGCCCGGGAGGGGAGCATGTTTTAGTTTAAACCAAGCTGTTTCATGTATATTTTGTTGTAAAGTTACGATGCACATGGTTGCCACCTGTAAACAGCCAGGATGGTGTTCTGAGGGCATTTCAGGTTTATCTGCATCTTTACTTGAGAGTGTGGTATGATGATTATTTGGGGACACTTAAGGGACAGGGTGGAGGTGGTGTCCAGACAGAGGGATCACATCACTAGGCTGGTGAGAAGTGAGTCAGCTGGAAGGACCCCTCTAAGCTCTGCCTGATGAATTTAGGACCTTGCAATGTGGTCCTCATGACTGATCGTTTGTAGGGCCGTCCCGGGACTCACAGTAAGTAGGGGAACCACTGAAGGGTGAGAGCCAACTTCCATAATCCAAAATGAAGTATTCTGAGTGAGGAGATGGAGGAGGCCAGAGCAGGGCCTGGGAGGCTGTGGTACTGCTCAGAGAGGGCAGGGAAGGGAATACGGGAATTGTGCAGTGGAGGGAGGGATTGAGGGAGGGAGGACTGTGCTGTTCTCTAGGACTTCTATTCTTTTCAAAGACACACTAAGTTTTTACTTACAGAGTTATGTGCACCTGCATTTAAGCAATTAAGTTGTCGTGCACCTCCAGTGACATCTTGGTCAATGGCAGACTGCAGATTGGCCTAGTGATACTGTTATGGTTTGTACATATACACTTTAGGGTGCTGGCACGGTGAGGAAATTGCCTGTGGACGCAGTACAAGTCTCCAGATGTGTCCTGTCACGAAGCCACACATCCACTAGCACATCTGGTAGACAATTTTTTTTTTTCTGCATGGAGTCTGCAGTGCTGCCTGCCTACCTGGGGCCATGCAGACGGATCTAAATTTAGGGTGAAGGATGTTAGACGTCCTGTCAGTTCTCATCTTGAGGGTGTAGCCACACTGGGTTGATGTGGTAGTCCTTGAAGGCTCAGGGGCTTATTTTGCTTACACGTACTCTTCCTTAAGCAGAGCTGAAAAAGAAGAAGTTTGATGGTGTCCGTGTGTGGTGCAATTGATGTTTTTCATTCTCTTCTTTAAGGCTGAGGTTCCCATGGGAGCATCCAGGTCACTGACATCAAAAACATCAAAATGGAGATCCAAAAACTCCACGGAAGGTACTGCAAAGCCCACCCTGTGCATAGTGCTGAGATCTACATCTTTCTGTGCCTCATAGTGTCACTGCTGCATCTGGGAATGAGCGGTGGAGACACACACACACACACACACACACACACACACACACACACACCTGGGAATGAGCGGTGGAGATTGTGGAACACACACACATATCTGGGAATGAGAGGTGGAGATTGTGGATCTCACACACACACACACACACATATCTGGGAATGAGCGGTGGAGATTGTGGATTACACACACACACACACACACACACACACACACACACACACACGAGCATATGTCTGTGCTCACACCACCAGGGAGGATGGCAGAGAAGCCTGAAAGGACGATTGGATTCATTTTCAGAATCCCCTGTCAGTCTGTCTTGGTTTCGTGCAGACAGAATTTAATCCTGTTTAATTTAAGATGCTGCTGCACTTAAAGATGGAATTGTGCTAAGAGCTGAGCTCACAGGCCTGGCCTGCGGTTTGGACTAGCACATAGGACAAGAGAGCATCAGTCCTGGTGGAGCTGCTAGCATTGGGGGCTCACCTTGGACTGATGTGCGGTGGCTTTGGATGAGGAGTGTGGTTTTGGGAAAGTCACCGTCTCCCTAAATTGCGAAGGTAAAGCATGGCAGGTGTATAGCGGTTGTGAGCTGTTGTTTCGCAACGATTTCACAGCGGTAAGGGGGGCTGTGGTGATGTCTGTGCCTGAGTCTTGTGGGAGGAGCCCTCTGAGGAGCAGTTGCTAGCCCGAGGCCATGAGTGATGTAGGGCCTTAGCGTAGGGCTCCAGAAAGGTTCCCAGGTTTGTTATGACTGACCTCAGGAAACGCAGTTCCTAGCAAGACTCCATTCTTCATGTTTTTGGCATCTCTGATTTGCCTGTCTTTGGCTGGGCTGGTCCTTACTTGGAGTCTAGTGTTGATGTTAGTGTGTGTGCTCTGTGGTTAGGACGTCTAACTGTTTAAACGTTCATTTCTTGTGTATTTTTACTTTGTTTTGACTCGTTGTACTTGGTTTAGTATTGGACTTGCCTGAGTGTTTAATATTTTATTGACTTGTCCAGAGAGTTGAGACATGAAGATTTGTTTTCTCAGACATTTTTAACATTTAGTCTTAGATGAACTCATTGTTTTAATTCGTGGTGCAAGGTGAGGCTCTGAGTGGTTCAGGATTGCTGCCCTTCCTGGTCTCTGATGCCTCCTCCAGTCTGGGGTCTGTGCTGTTTTCTGTTCCTCTCTGTCTTCTGCCATCGTTCTTTTCAAATGCTCATGTGTTTGCTCATTTTTCCACATACATTTGAAAATCTCTTTATGGCTCAAATTTCCCTTCTCCCATGGAACAAACAGACTAACTTGTCAGGATTCAACTGACTTGGCTATGTTTTTCCTTAGTTAAGTAGTTGGCAGGTCACCCCCTCTTCCCAGGAGCTGTGTGGGTTGCCGTGGTGACTTTTAAAAGTGACTCTTGATACCTTGTTTTGTTTTTGCTTTTTTTCTTTCTGGTCGTTTTGCTTTGAGACAGCGTCTCACGATGTATCCCAGGCTAGCCTCAAATGTACTGTGTAGCCCAGCAGCTGACCTCAAACCTGAGATCTTCGTACTTCAGCCTCCTGAATGCTGGAATTACAGGCTGCCTGCCACTCCCAGCTCTCCCTCCTTTGCAGTGGGACTTACCGATCTGTAGTATCTGCTCAGTGAGCTTTGTAACAGTGCCTCCCTTTCCTCCCGGTCTTCTCCCTCCTCTTTCTCCTCTCCGTCTCCATCTCCCCCTCCCCCTTCCCTCTCCTTCTTCCTCTCTTTCCTCCTTCACCTCCCTGCTCTCTCTCCTACCCCCGTCCTTTTCTCCCTCTCTCTTTCTCGTCCCCCTCCCCTCCTTCCTTTGCCTCTGCTCCCTCTCTCTTCCCTCTCCCTTCTCCTCCCTTCCTTCCTTCTCTTTTCTTATGATCCCCAAGAGAATTTACATCAGGATTGCAGGATTATGAGTGAGCCTCACTGAGCTGGCAGCAGCTTGCAGGACTTTAACTGTGCTGGCCTTACCACCCAGGCTCTGATGTCACCAGCCCCTCCCTGGCAAGGCTAGCACTCCACCCAGAGTCGGCTTTGCTTGAGTAGATGCATTTGAGCAGATGCCCTGACTCAGGTGCCCATGACACAGGACTTGTGTGTTTGGTTCCCAGGTGAGCTTTGCATCCACTGCAGACTGAGGGTGGCAGGTCCGTGTGCTGGCTGTTCTGGAATCCCTGTGACACTTAGAAGACATTTACACAAGAACATGGTCGTTTTACTTGTTTATGTGAGAGTTAACTTTGAGTTAGTGAATACACTCGGTTCATTTGATTGATAACTGCAACGTTTCCAAGTTTAACACCTATTCTCATTGTGCAATTTCATGTCAGGAGGAAGGGGTCTAGAGCCAGTGAAAATAGTCTTTCCCTGAGAAAGAACATAACGCTTCCTACCGTAAAGCTAAGAAGGACCATACCATGAATCAGCTTGGTAAGATCGCATGAGCAGTAGTGAGGCTGTGAGCGAGTGTCTGAGTGGAGCTGTTCACTGCCAGTCCTTGTGTGATCCTGGCCACAGCTCCCCAGGGTGGGTACACAGGCTGTGGGTGGTGCTGTTCACTGCCCAGTCCCTGTGTGATCCTTGACTGCGGAACTCCCCAGGATGGACACATGAGGCTGTGAGTGGAGCTGTTCACTGCCCAGTCCTTGTGTGAACCTGACCACGGAGTTCCCCAGGGTGGACACATAGGACTTGTTCTTCATCTTGTGGGGCCTCCGTTCCAGAGCATTCCCCTGGCTACAGTGGGTGGGGCAGGAGGACAGTGGGTCCTGCCAGGCAGAGCTGTATGGCTGCCCCAGCTAGCTGTGATGTCCTACCCCAAGTCAGCCATGGAATAAAACTGTCTATTTGAACCTTGCTTTCTTTACTTGGTAGAATTCAGATTTTAAAGAGAACACAGGAATGCATACCTTAGCCCTGATTCTTTTGAAGGAAATTGAAGCCAGGGAAAGCAGGAATGGGGGGCATGGACTCGAAGGGCCTCACTGAGCCAGGGCTTCTGTTCGGAACTGACTGGGATGGGGAGGACCTGTAGGTATCCAGAGACCCAGAGGAGAGAACACAGTGACTGCAGCCTGTGTGCATGCTGGGAGCCCAGCTGGGGGTGAGGAGGGGCTGTCAGCAGGCTGGGGCTTGAGGAGCTGGGCCTTGTTGGCCATGTGCTCAACAGGTGTGAGCGGAAGGCCTTGCAGGTTTTACTGGGATGTTGGTGAGACCTGACCCTGGAAGGAGGGGAGGCTGGTGGGCAGGGAGGGACTGTGGCACTGAGTGAGGATGAGCATCAGAGGCAACTCAGCCCAGAGCCTGGTGGGAGTAGGTGGGGCTTAGGGGGGTGCTCTGCAGTACAGATGATGACTGTGATGGATTGGATGCCACTTGTTGGGGAGGAGGGGACTCAAAGGGAAGACAGACCCATCTGGGCACCTAGGCAGTGCCTCTCACTGTAATAGAAGTCTTGGCGGATGCTGGTTGGTGGGCTGGTTGGCAGTACCTGAGCTGTCTGAAGCACCAGGTAGAGGTGCACGTATGTGTATCGTAGACTGTGTCATGTAGGTCTGTGGTGAGGGAGAGACAAACAGACTGCAGGTGAGACCAGACCTGAGGGCTTTGGCTTTGGCGATGGCTGGAGCATGGCCTTTGTGTGGTCATGAGCCAGATGCATTTGGGAGAAGGAGCTTGGAGCTTGCTGAGACTCAGATTGGAAGATGGGGATCTAGAGGAAAAGTTGGAGCTGGTGTCCCAAACACCAAGGGAAGGACGTGTCTGGGAGCACAGAGGGTCTCATCTAGGCTTCTGAGGGGTCCTATGGTCCATTGAGAGCTGACCACTGCGTGGACAGGGCAGCCTCTTGGTGACCCTGCCACCAGACCCTGTAAACCCAACTAGAGCCACACAAAAATGACTATGGAATTTTAATCTGCTGTTAACTATTTTATATCAGGAAGGAAAGAGAGTAATGTTTCAGCTAAGATTTTAGACTCTATAGCATGTGGACTAAATGGCAACCCAGATCAGGAAATGACACTGTCAGAAATAGGTAAGAAAATGTACCCTTTACTTCAAATTCCTCATGACTTTATATGAGACACTTATATCTCAGTATAGCTATGAATTGTTTTTTAAATTTAAGCCACTTTTATTCTTATCAGATTCTTTTTACAGTGTGCTGAGGATCAGATATGACAGACGCAGTGTGATTTAACTTGCTAAGCTATATGATAATTTTGGTAAATCAACTTGAAGTTAACCTTTAAATGTTTTTTTACCCTCTTTTTTTTTGAGACAGCATCTCAGGTGCTGGGGTTCCAGGTCTGACCCACCATTCCCAGCTCCTTGCTTTTCTGTATGTAACATACACGTGAATGTGTGCATAGCTTATATTCAGCAGGTACAATGTATGTGCATAAGGTGTGTGCAACATAGAAATCAAGACACTGTCTTACTCTTGATACTGGAATTTTATAAATGATGTGGAGGGCACCATAGAGGGGATTATTTTTTATATCTTCATCAGACTACTCCACCATCAAGGCTTTAAAAGGTGGGCCGGTGAGGTGGGTCAGAGGGTAAAGGCGCTTGCCATCAATCTGATGACCTGAATTTGACCCCCAGAACCCACATGGTGGAAAGAGAAACAGCTCCCACAAGTTGTCTTCTGACCTCTACGTGTGTGTGTGTGTGTGTGTGTGTGTGTGTGTGGTCCCCTCCCTCCTCCTGCCCCCCCCCACCTTTTCCTAAAGGTGTTTAAAAGCCTGCCTACGGCGTGTTGCAGGAGCCGCCCTGGCTCTTTACCCCCCTGACTGTATTTACAGCTGCAGGTGTGAAGAGGGGGTACAGATGGCATCACCCCCACATTGGTCACTCCATTCTCCTGCAACTTTATACCACATTTAGACATGGAAGTCCTAAGTTGTACTCAAAA